CGCCTGGAACCAGCCAGAACCGGCTGGAACCGCCTGGAACCAGCCGAAACCACCTGGAACCATCCGGAACCGGCTCTGTCCAGCACGGGGCAGCCCCGCCTCTCCTCACAGGGGCCCTGCAGCCCCCGCACACCCACAAAGGCCTTAGGAGGAGCCTGAGGTGGGATTTTAAAAGAACGAAGTTGTGATCCTGTGAATTTGTGCCTGACTGTCCTCTTACTGAGAAGGGTCCAAACTCTATCGTCTCCACTGTCTCTTACATAAAGATTATCCCAGCGCCCGAAGGTTCTGCTTCTGCACAGGTTTTAGGCTTGCTTACACATTTTTAACTAAAAGCTGCTCCTGTTTCCTCTGCTTTACTTGAGGGCAAGAGAACTATCCTTGGATGCACAGTGGGATAAGAAACCAGAATTGCATCCCCCCTTTATGCCATTTCATTGAATTTTGCTGAAAGCAAGAGGGATTATAAATAGAAGAGAAACAAAAAGCTCCTTCCCCTCAGATACTCCGGTCCCTCCAGATAAACCTATCTCAGTCTGTCACGTCGCAGACCCCTGCCTGCGGAGTCTGACGCTGCAGGAGAAGCAGAGGGGGTGGGGAACACAGAATTTGGGAGCAGCAGCATTTTAAAACAATTTCCCCGTTCTGAAACCACACTGGTGTCAGCACTGCCCCGAGCCCCGGCTGCTCTCCAGGGCCAGGAACCGCTCGCAGAAAGGGTCTTGCGCTCGCAGTAGGATTTTGATGGAAAGCTCTCTGTTAGCGAGGCCTCCCTGGCGTAAAACCACCCGTCGCAATTTATGTTGGTGATATGACAGGCATTTTAACAGATTGACTGCAACCTCCTAGAGCTATCAACCCACAAAAAAGACAAACCTTCCCTGTCACCACAAATGTGGGAAGTCGAAATTCTCTGTACTAATCACCGTCTAGATTGCAGCCTTGATGAATTATGAGTAGATTCTCTTTTAAATTATTCTTTTCCTTCCTTTAAAAAAAAATATAAACTAACAGGGTCTTAGGACGGTACATTGTTTTGTTGAATAAATATGTGCTTCTTGTAGTCGGAAGCTGATGGTGATCTACTGTCTATTAATAGCTTACAAGTGGAAAAATTTGGCATCACTTGCTGAGGAATTAATTATGTCAGTAGTAAAAAGTAAAAAAAAAAATTAAAGCCCTAACAAAAGGGCTTATGATAAAGAAATCACTTAAAAACAAGTGTCATAGTTGAGAGCTATAGCATCACCCACCCAAACACTACAGGTCACATTCAAAAGGAGGCCACGCTGTGTTTGGCTTCAAAAAGAGGGGTGAAGCTGGCTCGGAGTACACTTGTCCCACCTTGCTGCTCAGCATTCACAAACCTTGAGATTCCTGCATTGCCACCATCTGCGTGCATTGCAGAAATTCAAAGACCACATGCAGATTCAACACATGGAATCAGGAGAAGTACTTAGATCTATATTCTCTCAGAGTTATGAATTTGACACTTTTAGACTTTTTTTATTTTGCTCATCCATTGATCTTGCCTTATGAAACCCTGCAACTTTTTCCAACAAGGGCAGAAGCAGAGTTGTTTGAAAGTGGGAAACTGTTTTCTTACCATATCTCATCCAAAAGCACTGATGCTTTCAATTCCCAATTCTACCAGAGAAACAAGAGTATTTGACGAGGTTAATAGCAAGGAGAGGCAAAGAAAATGAAAAGGCTCTGAGAAATACTGATATGTAGGAGAGAAATTAGAAGTGGGTAGAAGTAGATGAAGTGATCATAAGGACAGAGAACACTGAAGATTATTCGGACCAAGGGCCAACGGAGATGAAGCTGAAGCCAATTGTTAAGAGAGCTGAAGAGAACTGTAGCCTTAGATAAAATCCCCAGTCTGAAGTTAGGGGCAAATGTGAACTTTATCAGAATGATGACACCTCCTGGACTGGGATGACCGGGGAACATGGCACAAGATTGCATTGCATTCCCAGTCGTTCTCACAATGCCCCTTCACTGGGACCATTTGCTTCCTTAAACTGATGTGGCTTCTGGGAAAAAGTCAGTGCAGATACTCAAAATATACAGTACTTGAGCTGCCTGTACCAGGTTCCATTAGCAGCTACATAGCCGAAGGAACTGGCCCTGGCACTGACCGCACTTCAGGAGACGCATTCAGGAGAGGTCTGAGAAGTTTCAGATTCAGCAGCTTACTCAGATTTCCCACCTGTGGCACCACATCTGTCTCTTAAAAAAAAAAGCTCTAATGCTCTAAAAAAAGCATAGCCTATTGAATATGGGGCAAACAGGACTTTTAGTTCTTATTCTCCGATGAAGAAAGCTTGCCTTCTACACAAAGTCTGGGTACAAGTTTCTATGTAAAAGCTATAAGGAGTGATTAATTAATTACTCCTCATGTCCTCCAAGTATTAACCAGTATAACAAGAAGCTAGATAGGGATTTGTGGATAGCAGTTGTGGGAAGGTTCAGACAGATATTAAAGAAAGCTTTCCAGTGAACCTTTAAAAGAGGGTGCTGAGGGCATGCTGAATACCTGCCGTTGCAGGGTTTTAACACAAGGTTAATGAAGTACCAGCTTAATCCAAAATTCACTCAAGACCAGTCTCAGTACCTGATCCTGCTTCAAACCAAGAGGATGGATTAAGTGACACCTTTAAGTCTTTTCCACACATAAAAGTCCTAGATTTAATTAATTTCTCTGTCATTTCAGGTCTATATTAGGGCCACATATGTGAGGTTCAATCAAGAAAAGAAAAACTACAAAAAAGCAGTGAACTAACCAC